GAAAAAACCAAATACTACTGTTCTTTTAAAAAAAAAAAAGTAGCAATGAAATAATACCTAATGACATTCTGCTATAGATAAGTAGATAAGTGCCTTGTTCAGAAATCATCAGAGAAGCTTCCTCCTGCAGCATACTGGAACACATACAGAAACCCACAGACAGACAAGAGGCAGAAAGTGAGAGACTGTGGCACACTCCAGTGGAAAGTGTGCCAGAGCCAGAGGGGACGAAAAAAGCCAGAGGACCAAGAAAACAAGGCCCTCGAAATCAACATATGACCTCACAGAGACTGAGGCGGCATGCACAGGGCCTGCATGGGTCTGTCCCAGATAGGGGGTCCTAGAACTAAAAGAAGTGGACACAAGCCCTCATCCCTAATCCAGAAGCAATCTCCAACTGATAACTACTTGCAAATGAAAATTTAGTTTTCTGCAAGGGAGTCTCACTGGGTAAGCAAACTAGTCCTAAGGGTAGGTGTGGTAGTTTGAAAGAAAATGGCCCCCATAGGTTGTGGCACTATCAGGAGGTGTGGCCTTGTTGGAGGAAGTATGACTGTAGGAGGTGGGCTTTGAGGGTTCCTACGCTTAAGCTACACCCAGTGTCACAGTTCACTTCCTCTTGCCTGCAGATCAAGAACTCTCAGCTCCTTCTCCAGCACCATGTCTACCTGCTTGTCATCCACCATGATAATAATGGACTAAGCCCCAAATAAATGTTTCCTGTGTAAGAGTTACCATGGTCATGGTGTCTCTTCACAGCAATAGAAATCCTAACTAGAAGCTGGGCAGTGGTGGCTCAAGGCCTTTAATCCCAGCACTCGGGAGAGAGAGGCAGGCGGATCTCTGTGAGTTCTACAGAGCGAGATCCAGAACAGGCACCAAAACTACCCCCTGAGAAACCCTATCTTGAAAAACACCAAAGAAAAAACCAAAAAACCCTAACTAAGACAGTAGGCTACATGCCCAGCAGTAGACAGTCAACAAAAAATGAACTTAACAGCACCTTTGGAGGTTCCTTCCCTCTCTCTCCCTGTCTCTGTCTCTGTCTCTGTCTCTGTCTCTCTCTCTCTCTCTCTCTCTCTCTCTCTCTCTCTCTC